GGGCCCTAACGAGGCAAGTTCGCTTATAACTAGCGTTTATCTCAAGAGTTCTTCTCGGGAACATTCCGCGCAAAGGGTTAGTCCGCGATAGAAAGTTTCCTGCGACCAGAGGCCGCTGTGGTTCAAAGTTAAATTGTAGCAACAGTATTGTTATCGGGCAGCCTTGAGACGGGCTGCTGGCATCCGTCCGTGACGTCTGCCGTGCGCCTTTGCGATTACCGGTAAGTTTTCTCGATTGCTCGCGCGATTTCAAGTGGCCATAATATGTGGCGAGAATACATGGCAATATATGACAATAATATATGGCAATAATATACGGCAACAATATATGGCAACAATATATGGCAACAATATATGGCAACAATATATGGCAATAATATATGGCCATAACATATGGCAATAATTTATGGAATATATTTTTCGTTCGACAAAAGTCAATGCAAATTTGCGGCATGCACAATGTAATAATAAAAGAGCTCTCTGCGAGCATTGAGTCAAACGCTCACCGATGATGATGATCCGATATTGATAATGTCCCGTTGCATCCAACTAGATCCATCAATGTCCGTCCATGTCCGTGCTCTCCATGTCGCGCAGCATCCCATCTTGCAGCGCGTCCCACGTTGATTGCTACACTTTCGCCGCACTTCCGCGACGTCGTCGATACGCGGTATTAGAACGGCGATATTTGCGTCAATTAACGAACGTTTTACGTCGACGTCGGTGGAAACTTTTTACGCGCTGCGAAACGAACTCTATAAACTCGATCGGCGAGGAGCAAGAACCGTGTGAAAATTTATCGACTCGTTCAACGGATTTTTACGGCGTTTTTCGCGCCTGAAAAGTCGCGAAAATGCGGGAGTATCGATATTTACAAGAATATTCGCGAATGCATGCGAAGAAAGATTAGACAATTAGAAACCGGTTGCTCCGAGGGAGCACAAAGAGAGAGAGAGAGAGAGCGGAACAAAGTTTTCACGCATGATAGTTCCGTCACGACGAAGCTTACGTTCGCGATGCTTTGGCGAAATGAGAATTTAAGCTTTCTTTGTTAGCAGCGTGGGTAAAAACGCGTATATTGATAACCGCGGTCGCGATATTCAAAGGCACGCGAGCGAGGATACCTCAAGCTCGGCGTGCGCTGGCGCAATTTCTACGCAATTTCTGGCGCATTATACGCTACTCGAGACAATAGGGATCGTAATGAATATTACCAAATAATTTTACAGCCTGTTTTAAGGAAATAAAAGAAAAGTAGCCAATGGTTTCGGCATTTATGCGTATGAATATATTTTACGCGGACAATTGAATATTGTCTAATAATTCTGTCGTTAAATATTTCTGCGGCCCGCTTGAAAAATAAAAATAATGTAGTTGATGACGGTATCGCGTTTGTAGACATGAATATCTCTTATTCAGATAACTGAATATCAAAAAAGAATCATCATCATTCGGTATTTTAAATCTCGTATATAACGCAGGCTATACGATCAAGTAATCCCCTGATTGTTTCGAGCAATGTATTTTATTCAACGTTTCACAAACACACACATGCAAGAATCTATTTGCAATTTGCATTGACTCGAACGATATCTTTTAGTCCCACATCCGTCATGCAGAATTTTGTTTCTCTTTTTATTTTGACTCACCGAAACGACTTGCAGTCAGAGCCGGCCACGTTCCGCTTCAACTCTGTAACAAAAAATTCACATTCGCTCATCAGATTTGTACCAACGAGTGCGGGCGAGTAAAAGAGTAGTTTACCCTCTGCGATCGTAATTCAAGTCAAGCCGGAAATTATATCCCAGCTCTAGATCGCCAAGGGTCAAACAGAGGACAAAGAGATAGTAAACTTGTAAACTTACCTTCAAGCCGACTCTGCTTGGCCCGAACCGGATCCTCCGGTGCGGCATCCGCGTCCGCCCGAATGCTGTTGCTTTCCGCAACAACTGAAACAGAAAAATAATTTTCTCAGTTGATAACCTGCGGTAGAGAGAGTATATCTTTGATCGGGACGAATCGAAAATATAGAAATATTTTGATACGGACTTTTTATCTTTACATTTTTGTTCCAACATTGAAAATTTAAATGAGACTTGAAGGTTTCAAGAGAACTGATGAGGAACAAGTTGCAAAGGCAAAGATCGTAAAGGGTTGAACACAGATATGTAGGAAACTTGTAAACTTTACCTTCCGGCCGACTCTGCTTGGCCCGAACCGGATCCTCCGGTACGGCATCCGCATCTGCCGGATTGTTGTTGCTTTCCACAACAACTGAAACAGAAAAGTAGTTTTCCCAGTTAATAATCTGCGGTAGAGAGAAAATATCTTTGATCGAGACGAATCGGAAATACGGAAATATTTTGATATGGAATTTTTATCTTTATATTTTTGTTCCAACATTGAAAATTTAAATGAGACATGAAGTTTTCAAAAGAGCTGATGAGGAACAAGTTGCAAAGACAAGGATTGTAAAGAGTTGAGCACAGATATGTAGGAAACTTGTAAACTTTACCTTCCGGCCGACCCTGCTGTGCTCGAACCGGGTCTTCCGGTGCGGCATCCGCGTCCGCCGGACTTGCTTCCCGCAACGTCTGGAACAAAAATTTAGCGTTCTTGGTTGGTAAGCTGCGGTAGAAAAAGAATGTTTGGTCGGGATGAGTGGAGAATATTCACTACGGTTTTTTTTCTTTATTGACATTGAAAGTCTAGATAAGACTTGGAGCTCTTGAAAGAGCTGACAAAAAAAGATGACAACAAGAAGCGGAGACAACAGTTGTATGCTCTCGAAAATACTCTTTACGAATGGACATTTAAATTTAGATCCAGTAACGAGAGTAAACAGACTTGAAAGAAGCGCTGACCGAAAACAAAAAAGGTCGCAGTCTAAGAAGCGATATGACGTTGAATATTCTACACAAGACCGGTATATTCATACAGTTCGGAATTATTCAGAATGTTTAGTTGAGAACATAATGAATTAGAGATCCGCGTTCATGGATCGTTATCCGTCTCTGTCAGAATCAATATATCTCTTGTATATAACAACGCAATAAATAGATAGACAGAGATTGACGAGAGTAATTGCAAATTCATAGTCATGATTACTAGTCGGATAATGACGGATTGTGAATGCCGAGCGCGAAATTCCGACTTCTTATTCCCGGAAAATTCGTCAAACGTCCGTTCTCGTTATCGGAGACCTCCCACATAATAAATGATTCCACATACCTGAAAACGTGACGTATCGGTGCCGGCGTCCTGTTTCCCGGCTGCTGGAGTCCTCCGGATTTCACTCACTCACGCTTCTAATGTTGATACTTGCGATTCGACCGTGCGGTTAATCAACGCGACGCCGACGCGATGCCGATTGAGTATCTCGAGGACCGACGAGATACATTTTTTTTAATTATACGAGACAGAAGTGACGAGCGCGTCGCGCACGGCTGCTGTTGATGGAATGAGATCGAATACACGAGATGCGCGAGTATTATAATACGAAGGGCAAAAAGTGTCGTCGCTCGCGAGCCGATCAACACAATCGGTTCGCGATGTAAACATTGCGGGCCTCGATGGCCCACCGTTGAAGCAAGAGAGACTTGCCCTTGGGCGTCTTTTTCTTTTCTTGAAGGTTCCGGGACGACGAGGAGAATGCGAAGAGACCTTTCAACTGTACGCGACATTGATTTACCATTTATTGATTACTGAAAATAAAGAAAATTATTCCGTCGAAGCATCACATTTGACATTTGTTAGCTTTATGTTAATTAAAGAGGAATGTGTACGATTAGAAAATGTGTTAGTGACTAATTGTACAGAGTGTCAAAGTTGTGACGCCGTTTTTGGAGAATAATTAAAGGTCATGATAGCGTTAAAGAGTGGAATTTCATCCCATGTAAATTTTGTCTCGTTCTTATTAAATGTTAGATTATCCGCTGCGGACAATAACTCTTCTCCTTTTCATCTAATATTCAATGATGATAAATAACATTTAATTGCATTCGTTTGGCTTTTTTTATTTCGAAAATAAAAAAATATATACCAGAGTGAGATTTCACCCATGATAACATCAACGTGATTTTCTTTGACGCTTTTTTTAAAAGTTCAGATATTTCGTTACTCGCAGGATATTTATAATCGGGGTCTCGTTGCGTTAATTAACACGTGTTCCTCCGAGTGGATCGATTGCTCACCAACGACCACTGTCAGTGCCATGAACGAATGTCCGGAGCGGACGGGATGCTGAATTGAAAAACAGGACAAAGGGAACGAGACACGGGCAACGATACATCATGCGTCTCCAGACATGTCAAATCGTTTATTATACAGGAGACTTTGATACGGCAACATGTATTCGAAGATTTAACATTTAATATGTACTTTTATTTTTTCTGCTCCTCCCCCCCTCTCCCCCGCTCTTTTTAGACCACCGGGCATAATCTGACATAGAGATAACAACTGTGGTTACAGCACGGACATAAATCTCCTGCAAGGGGATGTAGCACGGACTTCCACCACATACAGATTTTACCACCGAGACCTGAAAGTGGATGTAGCATTGTAGTTCCCCTCTCAAAATGGATGCAGATGGCGTCCTTTCCCAATGTGGACAGTCGGTGTCGCAGAAAATGCCGTGTTGGCCGCTCTCAGGTTTCTCTCTGCCAAAATATAGGTTTTCTCACTCTAGCTTATTGCACCAGTTCAGCAGTGCAGCTACAAAGAACAGACCAAAAGTGAGAAAAAATATAGTTGTTTCATTCTAACTTATTGCACTAGTTCCGCAGTGCAGCTAAACAGAACAGACCACGATATTCACTGCCAGCACTGAAAATCTATAATATATGTGACATAAACTATATATTTTCAGTACTGGCAGTGAATATCGGAACGCAGCCTATTTATCCGATTGGGAACCGCTGCAATGCGAAGTTTAAAGCTAAAGCTAAGACTCCATGCATGCGGTGAGCTCCGGCAAACGGCTGCGGTGACCAATCAGGAGACAGACGCATGCCGGAGCTTGCCGCAACCGGACTTGCGCCTCCCTCCTGATTGGTCATCGCAGCATTTGCCGCAGCTTACCGCATGCATGGAGTCTTAGCTTTACTTAGCATTTAATTCTGTTGTTTGTTATAACAAGTAAATAAAAGTTATTGTTGGAAATTATCATGTCACTTGTTCGAAAAGGACAGGTACGATCATAGACAACATTAAGTCTGACTATTTCTATAAACATTTCTTACAACATAAGAACATCATTTGTCTTCATTGCATATTCTAAGCTAATATTTTATAATATAATACACATATATTTAGTAATTTGTATATGATTTATTCTCAGCACTGGGGCACATTTTCTCGAATTTGGCATATATATGATGCATTGTGGCAAGATCCATACAAAAGTGCAAATTTATTAAAGATCTATCTTATGGGATTATATAAACCAATATATCATCCAATGAGTAAGTATTATTTCATTCAATTATCTCTATTATAAGATATTTACATGTTATATAAGAATTAATTGTAAATTTTTTAATACTTAAGTAGTAAAGACATTTATCTACTTTGTTTACAACTAAACATTTAACTTGAATAGTTTTTAAATGAAGAAATTGGATATAAAAGCTGCCTCTTTTTTGCAACTATTGATATTAGATTAATGAAATAAAATGTGACTCATAATTGTTTAAAATCTAACAAACTATATATATCATTAGATATTTTAATGTTAAAAAATCTTATTTAATTTCATATTTCTTGTAAAATATAAAAATTGTATTAAATACCATTCTGTTACGTAATAAGAAACATGTAATAAAGAGGAAGCAAATAAACTTATTTTAACTTCTAATATTGTTCAATAATTCTTTCATAGATGATTGTGGCGATCATGTAGTAGTAATAAATAGCAAGGAAATTGCATTACGTGGAGATGAATGGCGCAAACGTGTGTACTTTCACCATACCACTTACCATGGAGGTGATACTTGGACACTTGCATGGGAATTACATAAGAAGGATCCAACTTTGGTAATTAAGAATATTATAGTGATAAAATAATATACACATAAGATATGATTTTGTATGTTATTTAATCAATTGTATATGAAATTTAATCAGATTGTAGAGAAAGCTGTGTATTCAGCATTGCCGAAAAATCTCCAACGACGGTACACAATGCAAAGGCTACATATATTTCCAGATGATAAAGTACCTGAAGATGTATTGAAAAATGTATCTAATCAAATCAAACAACTGAGACATGTCCCTATTCGATTAGATCATATACCAAAGGAAGAGAGAGACAGTTTCCCACAAATTATATCACATCCTGAGCAGTATATTCTTAAGTAATAGTGATTTGATGTATAAATACTACAATAAACATAATTAAAAAATAATACACAATGTTTAACATACAGTATTCAATATTTGATCCTATCAGAGTCTCTAATTGTATTTGCTATGTCTTTGTATTCTAAAATTGGATTGTTAATAATTACAAGCATATAAATATATAAACGCCTGATATTTGCAAGTGGAGCAGTTTAAGAGTCACAACTTTTAACAAATCTTAGAATATTCATTTTTATAATAAATAGTCTCCTATATGTACAATAAATATATTTAGAATGCATTGTTTGAAAATAATCAATATCCAGTATTTACAAATGTCTTGCAATAATTATTAAAATTCCTTCCACGTTTCCGTAATTCGATCCGATTCGTTATCACCGTTATTGACAATTATCGCGTACGTATCCAAAGTGTCCCACTTATCGTTTTTACTTTGCCTCTTGTGCGGCTCTTCTAAGTCTTGTTCCTTGGACGATTCCGCAACATTGACTCGCAGTTGCGACAAATTTCTTCCGTATAACTCCGATGTCTCCAGGTCGAGAGCGTACTCGCTATGTACAAGAGGGATGTCGCAAAACTGACAACATGGTTCTTCGTTCTCTTGCATCAAACACGAATGAAACATCTGTCCGCATATTCGACAGACCAGATATTCCAAAGACATGATCTGTAATAATGTCATTGCACACCTAGGTAACTTATGACCCGACGGACACGACGTGACGGCCCATGAAAGGTCATCTATTTTCTCGCGACACAAATCGCATTTGTCCGTCACGATAGTGCAGTAATTGGTTTTTTTTAATGCTTCCCGAGCACACTGACGTGCTTTCTCATCTCTCTCGTCTTTTTCATTTGCTTCATTTGCGAGGTATACTTTCAAGTATTTTCTCAGCAAAGTTGCAGCACGTTTTTGTTCATCTATGACCTTTCTCCTCACTAAATTATTAAGATATGCACAAGCGGAATGTATAAATATCAATGGGAGCTCTTGCGATATCTTACTTTGCCTTATGTGATCCATACTTGGAATCGACTTCTTAACTTTACATACATTTATCATCACTGTCAACCACATCGATATTTGCAAGTCATACAGCGGTGATGATTCCAGCTTATTTATTGTCGGACATAACACAGTACTTGGGTCTTCTGCTTTGGCAGCTTTCACTCGGAGCACCTCTATACAGTCCCAAATATTTTTGAGATTTGTACTACTATTAATAATGGCTAATGGATCCCAAGTTGCACCTTTTAAAGCGAATATGTGTATTGTAGTTGGTTCCCTCACTAGCAAATGATCAAATACCATATTTGGACTAGTTATATTTATAAACATAACTTTATTTGGCGAGTGGGCAAGTCCTAAATATTGAACACGCATCTGTGGCAAGTGAGTTGTGATGTCAATACACATTAAATCATTTGACCGTGTATCAAGAATAAAGATGTGAGCTTGCTGGGTGCTAATCAAGAATTTTTCAGCAGTAATAGAGCTTATACCTGAAACAATGTATATTTCATATTTGTTTTGGTGACAAAAAGCAAGTAATATCTATATAATATAAAACATACAAGTATGATTATAAATTAACTACAAAACACACACACACAATACAAAAAAAATATATATATGTATATATTTTATATTTATGATATATTATGGAAATATGATATATTTGTGGAAATATACAAACCTGTAATATTGAATCCTTCTGTTCGCAGATATTGTATATTTTTCAATAATCCTGTCCAATTTATGCATAAAAGTAAAAGACAGACACCTTTGACAGCAAGAATTTTTATACTTGATTTATCTTTATAAATGACATGGATGTAATTAATTGCTATACGGTCATTATCAGTATATTTTACTATTGATTCAATTTCTAGGCTGTTAGTGTCATATATCAATTTTACACCATAAATACACCCGTTAATATATCCAACAATGAGCAAGTGTTCATTTTCGTTGATGCTGATCCAGCACAATACATTGATTTTTACTGTAATTTTCAACTCTATTCTACAAACTAGAGTAGGTTTCAAACCTACTTTGAAATCTGAAATTCTGTGAATCTTCCAGATTGATATATCACCACTGCGATAAGCAACAGCAAAGTATGCAAAGGAATTTTTTTCCACTTGGAAAAGCTCACTCCATGCCATTGAGCAAGCTTGTAACATTCTCATGCTATCAGTTATTCTAACATACTTGTTCACATTGTTGGGAGAATTCACACATTTATTAAGACTTGATTTAATAGTCTTTTGCACGATATTCAACCTTAGAGCTGATATGTCACATATAGAATACCATTCGTTGGAAACTTTATGCAATAATTCAATCGCTCCCGCTGCAGTTAATATGGCTAATATACACTGACTCGGATAAATCAAATTTTTTGGTGACCATTCAACTTTGATTATCCTGAGGACAGTATCATTTACATTTTCTAACTTTGGTGTTATTGCCTCTTCCATGAGGAGAGAATATACTTCTTTGCGTTCTAATTTCCACACCATGGATTCTATCTCATTTTCAAACGCACATGCTGGCAAAATATCAGTAGCATTGACAAATGACCGGGTGAACTTGACAATTGGATTGGGGGACATGGGAGAAGGTTGCAATTCCTGTAAAAATAAAAATGTACATTACTTTAAGGCAGCGAACTTGTGACATGTTGACTTAATTATTTTTGTATTTATATGTATATACATGTATATACATATAAATATATATGTATAAATATATGCAGATATATGTATATACATATATATGTATATACATGTATATGTACATACATGTAACATTGCTTGAAAAAACTATTCATATTCGGTATCAGATAATGACCAAATTTGAAAATTATATACAAATTACTTATTCGACTGTTTTCTTCGGTATAAATACGATGTCAAGAAAGGTTAGTATAACCCATGCCGAAAGTGGTAATATAAACAAAAACTACTTGCCAACACGTGGACACCTCCTTCTGTAATTAACGAGATCTGATTGTCGGGCGACCATTGTACCGCGAATGGAATTGTTACTAACGGGAAAATATTAATACTACAAATTTCTTCCGTGTCCATTTCGCGGAATTATTTATAAATATCTTATATGCTCCACGTAACTCGATTCAACTTTCAGCTACAACAAGCTGCAACACAGTCCCCTGCTTTCTGTAGTTTCAGGGACTACAAGTGGTAATGCAAGAATAGAAGGGGGAGAACGTGACAGTTCTTATATATAGCGTACCAGCATATCCTAGCCTTTCGAGCAACCAATCACATGATCTATTTCAATTTTACCTTGTTTGAAGACACTTCATTTGGAGATAATAAATATGTAAATGTTGTTTCTTGTTATTATTTATGCTAATAACATGTAACGATACACAAATACATGATAACATTGTTTATTAATACACTTGAAATTTATTGTTTGTACTATCGGTAAAACAAAATAAAATACAATATGAATCGGAATCGTTAGCTCTAATAATAAATAATTCCAATATTATATGGACACATCCGTGTATATATATATATACACACATATATATATATATATAAATGTCACGTCTCTCTATTATCGTGCACTAAGCGTTACACATACGCTGCAACCGGCAAAGACTCAAACATGCATGTTTCGATATCTTTTACGATTTATAACTTTACATGACTACGCGTTCATATCCGCGCAATTCTGTGTCATGTTTGATGGTACAGACGACAGTGAAATAAAAAATATATAATTCCATAATTTTATGAAAGTTAATATACAATATTTGTGTACGATACACTTCACTGAACATTTCGTGTAAATATCAAGTGAGAGATGTATTATGACAATATCAAAGTTATATTTTCTATTTCACTCGAATCTGTTAGACGCCATTGTAATGTAAATTCATCACGCCTTTTGCTCATGATAATTTTAATATTGCAACGTTTTTGTAGAACGCTTGGTTATTCGATATTTCGCTACCACTACTACTGCTCTGCCGACGTCGCAGATCTAACGACAGGTACACGAAATAAATTAGGTAACTAGCTATTTAAATAAGAGCGATACGATAATAAAACGCGCCTATTTATAATATTTATGGCAGCATAAATATGCGTACGCAGGGTCGGACCGTCCGTCCGTCTGTCCGTCCGTGCGCTCCGTTGTGAGCGGATCCGGAGAGCACCCAGTACATTTATACGATACGAACCACTCGCGAGCGGTGAAAAACTCGGCCGTCGTTTCTTTTTTTTTTCTAACGACGGCTTTCAACGACTACAGCTACGTTGTTGTGCTTGCAACAACTCTCGTGATAATGAAATTACATGTTACGGAAGAAAACGCCCCGCGTATCCCGAACCGTCGCGCGACCGAGCTGTGAAGTACGACTAGGTCGTGAGGAATTGTATATTCTCTTCAGATATGGTCTCACCTGGCGACGGTTTATTTCGAGTTGACATTTGACACATCCTCGAAGGGAGACGCACTTAGCGCGTAATGCATTAAATTGATACGAAAGTACGGGCGTAACACGTAAGTGCGAACACGTCTAAGGCTACCGCGATATGCGCGGACACATTATCGATAATCGCTACGATGACAAATAAATAATTTATGTACAAAGCCAGCGAAGCTTTTTTTGAGAGGGTGTAGGGGGGCCGAGGGCAGTGTCGGGTACGTTTCCGGCATTCGTTTGATTGCTGGCTCTTCGCCTGGCGTCGAGTCGAATCGAGTCGAGTCGCGCGTCAATCTTCAATCAAGAACAACAGACTTCGACAGACCTATCGCGGCCGCGTGATCGTATCTTGCAAGTGGATTAAAGGGAATTGACAGGAATTTATCCTTTAAAATCATATTACTAGTCTTTAAAATAAAAAATCGCTTTAGAAACAATTAGATCGCGCTTCTGTGCCTTTCTGTGTTTCTTCTTGATAACATCTACTTCGCTTTTCTACACGTTATATAAATAGTCTCTTAATTTTTTTGCAAAATAACGTACGAAAATGTAAAAAACATACGAAAATGAATGTCCAATGTGTATAATTTTTACTAAAAAATTAAGTAATTTACTTGCGTCAAAGAAATTAAAAAATTCCTATAAAATAGGGAGAATGAAAAAACATTTAAAAAACTCTAAGTTATTCCTCAATCTTAAAACTTAAGAGTTTGCGACTTTACAGAATAAATTCCTATTCCCACTCACTTTTACAAGGTCATAATAAACAACTATATCATCGAACTATGCGAGCTTGCTGCTGACCGAAGAAAAATTATAAGGACGATAGTTCGACTGGCGGTTGACCCATCTTCGTCCGCAGGGTTGCAACATCATCTTCTATCTGGATCAGCAATTTGAATTTCTAGAAGAGAAAATAAAAATGGTGAGCTGATTTCTGCCAATCTATCATGAGGTTGCTTACACTTACCGTACTATTATCGCCCGGCGTAGTCATCCAAGCGTAGACCATATATCCAGGTATACAGAGCATAGAGGACAGAGCCGTAAACCAACCTAATACATGTGACCACCAAGGATATTCATAGTCCAAATACTTCACAGGTGTCCACTGAACCAGATTGAAGACGAACACGCCCTGATTTTAACCATTCAACATTTTATACATCATTTTAAGCAATTTACCAGTTAAAATTCCGTTAAAATAAAACTCGCTTGATGTCAAACGAAAAAATTAAACTTTCATAGACTCGAGGGAATGCAGAAAATTTCCATTATTTGTTATAATTTTCATACATCATTATTGCGCCGCTAATCTTAAGAAGGACCTAAACGGACACGAAGGAGAGTTTGATATTGTTATACTCTTGAAAGCAGGAAATTTTACTTCCTGCTGCTACTGATTTTCCCAAATCTACGGTGATATTATATATTGTACTTACAACGCAGATCATCGGCGTGGTAACAGTCCAGCAGAATTTCCACCACATAAGAGGGTAATATCCTATCATATCGCGCAAAGCGTCGTAAAATCGACTGACGCCGAACGCCCAGCTGATCGATATACACTCGAAGAAGATGAGGAATAATAGGCAGAAGCCGGAGACGGCATACGAGTCGAGAATTTGGAAGACGTACATGCCACCCTGCGAGATGCACGACAATCCGATAAGATAGGACAGGGCGCACACGAGAGCGATAAAGAGTTCTTTACGACGACGTAACAGCTGAGGCCACTCATCCACCTGAAGAGGAAGCAATCGATTGATTAATTCCGATTCACATATATATGCGTGTTAAACAATTAAAGAAGGAAAATCATGACTACGAAATAGAGCTACTGCGTTCTTCAAGGAAATACCATAGCCGTGATGAAGCCCTCCATAGTACAGAATTGGGAGTCAAGTCCGATGAGCAGTAACATGAAGAAGAACAAGCACGACCAGAGTGGCGCGCCCGGCAACTGAAGAACCGCGGAGGGATAAGCGAGGAAAGCCAAGCCCGGTCCGGAAGCGGCTACTTCGGCTACCGGTTTCTGCTGCTCGTGTGCCATGAAACCCACCACCGAGAATATCACGAAGCCCGCGAACATGCTGGTGGATGAATTAACCGAGCAGACTATCAGCGCGTCTTTGTAGACGTTATTGGTGAATTTGTTATAACTGCCAAGAGCTACCAGGGTACCGAGGCCGAGTCCATACGAAAAGAAAATTTGCGTCACTGCGTCGATCCACACCTATAAATTTAATTTGACACAATTGCCGTTATAAATTAAATTAAAACACGAAAATTAAAAAAATTAGTAATCTGAAAATGTAAACATAATCAATTGATATATTATAGAAATACAAGATTTATAGAACAGTCAGCCTTTTAGTCAGTGGACTTAAAGAATCGACAGATTAGAGAGGATAAGTAAATTTACCTCGGACTCCCGGAGCTTAGACAGATTTGGACTGATGTAGAATCGAATGCCCTCCATTGCGCCGGGCAACGTAATACCACGTATTAGGAGAATAGTAAGCAACACGTATGGGAAGAGAGAAGTAAAGTAGACGACTTTGCCAGTCCACTTGACGCCCTTCCAGATGCAAAAGTAACAGAGTATCCACACCAACAGCAACGTGCCCGCCAATTCCCATCGGATATTGCCTACGTATTCTATACCTTCGCTGATCTGCAACGCTCGACGTCTGGAAGATAGAAACGGTTGTAATCCGTCATGGACAAATAATGCAAAGGATCACGACGCTTCAAGAGAGCAACTGTGCCTGACGATAAGCCTGGCGATAAAAAAAACTATACAAATTGCGCGTCTTATGTACTCGAGAAGAAATGAAAAATTCTATTTATACTGACTCCCAAAACTCCTTCACAGGATCCGTCAGCTCCGTTACTGTCAGATTAACCTGATTGACCGTGCACATTTTGACGACGCTGTGGTTTCTCGCTGAAACCTGGCTCCAGCAGATCAATGAGCTCCTGTCGTAAGGGTTCACGCAATTCTTGGTGTTCCAATAGTTGTTGCAGCTTCCCCAAGGCAATTCTACGAATGGAATGAAAAATATATCACGTAACATTCAATGAATATCATTTATCGTTTGTTCTTGTGAATTTGTATGAACCAGAGAATTATTCTCACCAAAGACAGCTGACGTAGTGGATAAATTTCAATGTACTCACCGCTGCGCATCGACATGAAGAAATAGAAAATCGCCCAAGCTAGAATGACGATGTAGTAGACGTTCATCCAGCAGGACATAACGGCCGCGGCGTAACCGATGCCCTTGAAGAGGGGTGCTATCTTGAAAACTCCGAGGCCGCCCACCGTGAGCATCTGGCCGAGAGCTAATTCCATGAAGAACATGGGAATACCAGCGAGGAACAACGTCAGAAAATAGGGGATGAGGAAGGCACCACCGCCATTCTTATAGCAGAGGTATGGGAATCGCCAGACATTGCCGAGACCGATCGCCAAGCCAACCTTGAATAAGTAGCAGACGTAGCAATATCACAAGGTAAAAACTTTTTAGTCTGATGTTATGTAAATGCAAAATATCAAATTATTATATACTTATAAAAATTATAATTATAAAATTATTAAAAAATATAATTATATATAAAAACTTGTAAAAAAATATATATATACATATTTTTTAACATCTCACTCACTTGAGTGTCATATGCTTGAACATTTTGTTTACATGGCATGACTTCGTCGGCACTTTGAATCGAGGCACAGTTACGCTATATTTTTTAAATATATGGATAACATACTTAACAATAATAATGCATTACCACACTGAGGATGAAATCCAATTTGGTGCTCCATGTCCCACGATCCGGAAGAGGTTTGCTCTTATTGGTCGTCGAACAAGTCAGATTCAACGCTGTCCTACCGTTGTCAGGGTTTTCTGAATCAGCTACTTCAGGATCCCGTGATGCCTCTGTCATGTTTGTGGGCTTATGTGGAGGGCCCACTCGTAATCTCTCTCTCTCTCTCTCTCTCTCTCTCTCTCTCTCTCTCTCTCTCTCTCTCTCTCTCTCTCTCTCTCTCTCTCTCTCTCTCGGTGTTCTTTACTCGTGTGCGCACTCCAGCTGATTGTCGAGTAGCGTCGTTTCAAACGCAAAAGTGATTGTGAGACATAACACAGTATCTGCGGAGCGAATATTACAAGTTACATTCTTGAAAGCATAGTACGAGAGAAATCCGGAACATTTCAGTGGCTGAAATATACGAGCGTCTATTAAAACGCTTCAAAGAATACATTTTAAGCTCGAGAATTCAGAATACAGCTGAGCTAGCCGTAAGAAGTCAATTTGATTATATGGCGTGGAAAATAAATGAAAACAGCAATTATTAGTTGACTACTATAACTGAAGCAAGCTAATTTAACGAAACCGACAAATTAACTTGTTATCATTAACGTATAATGCAAAAAATACATATGTCATGTAAATTTGATGACAACTCGACTTGAATTAAGGTATTAAATCATTCTGATTCACGTGACTTTCAAAGCAATTTGACCGTCAATATTATATCGAAAGCCCGTGCCCTAAGGTACCTCAAACTGTCAAGTTTAGCACTCCAATGTCACGTGTTCCCGATCAGCTCGATCTCGATCTGTTCGCGGTGTTCCAATTTATTTTTAGTGGATCACCTGTATACGCAACTGGGATGACGGTGAAAATTTCGATATTCCATGTAGGATTTCTTTTTCGTAGGATTCGAACATAGCCGTTTTGTTTCGATTTTTAAACTACAGGAAAAGCAGCAAAAATTTTCGCAACTAGTATCGCACGAATAGAAATATCGCGAAATATCATCCGAATGTTCGAGTCAGTTCTGAAAATTGCAGCATCGAAGTCGCCGTCTCTTCCGCCTTGAAACGTTTTGACCGAGTCCTCATTCCGAAACTACGGATGTTCCTCTGTTTTCTGTCGCCCGTGGAAAATCTGCGGAAAACGATTAAGCGTTCGGGTCAAAGATGAATGGGAAGCTCTCGAAGAGAGCTGCGAGAAGAGGTGAAAGGCGGGCTGATTGTCGTGAGCATTGAAGAGGACTATTGCGAGCGGCCGGCTAAGAGTTCTTCTATTAGATAATTAGGCTGTGCCCGCGCATTGCGTCTCAATAGTCTTCGTTAAAGGGCCCCATCTGATTCGCGATAAGTCAAGGTACTGAAATCAAGTTTATAATCGCGCATAAATCCTCAGCTTATAATTCGAATTTAAATACACCGATTGCGACATCCCGCATACACGCCGGTTCTGCGTATATGCGGATTTACGTTTATGATACCGCGATCATAAAAAGACGCACAAATATCGAAATAAAAGAAAGAAAAGAAAATGTGAAAACATGTATCTTCAATTGTCAACTAAAGTTTCAGACAAACACGCGTACCGATAAGAAGTAAAGGAATCCGTGAAAATAAAAATGAAAAAAAAAAATAAATAGTCACAACAATCTCCGCTAATGTTCGTTCCGAATTATTTATAGCTACAGAAAAAAAAATTAATGTCTCGATACCTGTGAAATATCAGCCGTTATTAAAAGTGTTAATCGCTTTGAATTTTAGCGTTCACCTCGTTAGTGTCATTAGCGCTCGAAAGCGTATCTGCGAAAATGATTTCCAGCAATTTGCATTTATCGGACCTTTTCCTCTACCGCGAACGCGACATACAATGATGCAGGTTTTGGCCGATCAAGCATATCGAGCAAAGAGCTCGTGTGAAGGGTGCACCGGAGACGCGGAATCCTGTAAGAAGAGCAGCAAGCAAATCCTCCGAGCAGGCCGAAGGAGGAGGGTGGACGCCATTGGTGCGGCCCGTTAAATACGAATGTCCGGCAGGAGGGCTCGTATAATAAATATTGCGATGGTGCGTGTTTCCTTGCTCCTCCCTTCCCACCACCGCTACCCATCTCGGCTCCCTCTTCCTCTTCCACGCTCATAAAAAACAGCTATATTCTAATTAGCCGAGGATGTGTCGTTCCGCGTGTTGCGACCAACGCACCGACGCATTTCCATCGTCATCCCTCGTATCGCACGTATTGACGCGATTCGCCGAAAAAGAAAACTGAAACACCGCGAGCAAACTTCCCGACGAGATGCATTCCCTGAGGCGAACGTCGAACGAGGTTTCTCTTTTTTATGATTCGTGCGTCGCGCGCAGATCGAGAGCTGGGCGAGCTGATAGCGAACACGTGACATTGGAGTGTCGGACTTGACAGTTCGAAGTACCTTAAGGCACGTGCCCTCGATGCAGTATACTTGACAGTTAAATTGCTCGAGAAGCACGTGACACATCAGAGCAATTTAACGCCTTAACTTAAGTCAAGCTGTCGCTAAATTTACATGGCATACGTATCTCATCACATTATACGTTAGTGGCAATAAGTTGGTTTACGCGTTAATAAGTCAGTTGCGTTAAATTGGCTCGCTTCGATCGTGCCAAGGTTGTTAGCTAACAATTGCTACTTTTACTTCTTCTTCATGTCAATTCATCAAATTTGACATCTTACGACCTGCTCAGAGGAACACACGTTGTAGAACGTGACTTACTGCCAATTGATTAATTGTTTAAAGGCTTCGTATCGTTTCTAACAAAGCTTGGCATTTTCGTCATATCGACCTACGAACCTCACTAGATCCGACGATGGAACCTCATGTGGAAGTTTCCGGCGCCTTCGAAACAGCCGCGAGCGAGCCGATCTGTGATAGCGCGACGACACCTCGTCGTCGATGAGCGGAATGAGTCTGATTTGTTTTTACACACTGCACTTCCTGTGAGCACTCTTGATGGTCGCGCGAAGCGTAGTTTCGCGCTCACCGCCGGCGGAGCAATATCGTATCGTCTTCGGGCTCGGACGCGATCTGAGACGACTCTTCGGCGGCTCTCCGCGGAAATCCTCCTTGGATTCTCAGCCGACCGAGCACGTTTCGCACGGCAGGCTTTCTCAGGGTCTCAGGGTAGAGTTTCGATAGTCCAGCGGCGAGATTTCCCAGACACGGCGGAATCACGGCGGAACCGATGATCTTCCGGGCGGATGATCTCGGGAGCTGGTGCACGAGGGCAAGGATCGCCGATGATAGTCCGTGATTGTTTAAACGCGGCTGATACTGACTGAACACGCGTGTTACCAAAGGGAGAGACAGGGGAGAGACTCTCTGCGTTGCGATCGCGAGTGTTGCCCGCGGGATACTGTAATCGGTCTGCGATCGGTCCAGTGTCAGATCTTCCGTGTGCGCCGCGTCAGCCGGCAGTGGCTGAAATCGTCGTACAGGAAGAAAATCAGGGGTTCCCCCTTTTTTCCTTCTCCCCCGCCGCCAACCTGCCTGCGCCTCCGCGCCCTTATGCCCTCCGCCGCCCCCAACACCTACGATATGCGTTATCTGTTAGTACATACGCTACTGATGAGTGAGAAAAAACGAGAGAGAGAGAGAGAGAGAGAGAGAGAGAGAGAGAGAAAGAGAGAGAGAAGGTGATGGAGGAAGAGAGGGACAGAAGGTGACGGCGGAGAAGAAAGGGGGTCACCAAGATCGCAACAGTATATCATCATCAAGTTGACATCTATCTCTTTGCCTCCCTAACGCCGTCCCTCTCTCCCTCTCTTTTGCGCGTTCGCGGCTGCATTTTTTTCTCTCGCTCTCTTATTCCCGCCTTTCTGCTCTCGAGACCTGCCTTACGTCTCTCGCGATTCCCTATAGTGCAATACTGGCCCACCGTCATCTCGTCAAAATCTTCCAGCATGCGCGCGCCCTGTTCTTCGTGGGCCGTTATCGCGCCGGTAGAATGGGAGACTCGGCGATTTCGGGAATTTCGGTCTTCATGGTATGACAGTCGCGTCGTGAAAGCACGAAGGGGAGAGATTTTTGTGGATTAGAATGAAGTCTACCGGATTTTTTTGTCAACATTGCGTGTTCGTTCGATACAAAATACGAAACGATGGTGGCAACTTTTCGGGAAGTAATTTTGCGAATCTTTTTGTTTTCAGCATGATCGTCGAAAATTTTTTTTCGGGTATCCGACTCGATCTCTTCATTGTATAATCAACGAAAGGGACATCCGCAAGCTCTCGAAGCGTTAACCCGAATTAAACGCTATCGACACGAAAACAAAACGCCGCGCACTTTTATGTAATTACGGCGCAAATTTTTTTTCCATTAACGTTGCATTACCGGCGAGAGATTCTTGTTAAAGATTAACGGACATTCGCATACACGGCGACCATCAGCGATTTCATGAAAAGTTCAAAATCGTCGACTCCGGAACTACCTCATTACCACTCCCTCCCTCATTACCTGAGCCGATGTCATTAGCGCTGGATTTTTCGATAAAGGCGTCCATAAGAGTCCTACTGAAATACTTCCTCGACAATCTCTTCATCCTGATAATATCCTGCAAGAAAATACAATGGTATATAATTTTCTATATTAAATTGTTATATATCTAGATAAATCTCTGGACTGTTTTTATATAATTAAATTTTTGAATAAACAAACAATTATTTGATGAAAAATTGTACATACATGATATAAATCATAATTTTTTTATTTTAAGAAACAGATAAGGTCTAGGTGTATTCTTTTGTTCTTACAATTATACATAATACAAAATTATAAAAAAAAAATCTAACATTTATCGGTAGAATTTCAATAAATTTCGAAACAAAGTCACGTAGAATTTAATGAGTGAAACAAGTGCTAAACTGATTAAGATATTAATGCGAGGATGCTCGGCAATCGAGAAAATGGCAGGTATGCATTTCGGCAACGTCCGTCGCATTTTCCCGCCGCGGCTGATTTCCGAACGTTTCCGATGAAACGAAATGGCGATAAAGTAGGTGAGCAAGACTAGGAAGCTGGTATATCCGGAGGGTTCACGTGACACCGATCCGTCCCCGCATCCGTTCTGGGTACAGTCCGTTGTATAGGTCATGAGGAGAGCCTGGATTGATAACGCAGAGCCGTAAAACTCGCACTTGTTCGCGCTTCAAGCGACATTTTCGGCTCACGATAACAGATACAACTTGATCATGAAACATCAGTGATTATGAAACATTACGTACGTTGGAAAACGTATGTGGATCAATATGCGCTACCAGAGAGATTGGAAGTCTAATAGCGTGAAGTGAATCTCGAACGCCGCTAGTTGGCAGTTATTTTCTGCACTGTATGCTTTCCGAAACTCAAATTTACGTTTGAGACTAGGCGATAAAATGAAACATTGAAAAAGTCTGAAATATTCCATTGTAGAGAACTATTGATTATAAAAAAGGAAAAAATGTATATATGGAAATAAAGCGATATGAGAGATGCTTTATCGATTTGCGTCGATGCCTAAATTTGAGTTCATTTTTACGCTGTCCAATGAATCCGGTTGTTTAATGAACACATTGCACGTATTTCGACTCGTAATATTTCGAAAATACTAATATATTTTGTATGTCGTGCGGCGTGATTGGTTGATGACATTAGACACCGCAGAGGGGAGCATCCCAAATGACAAGAGGATGTGCGGGAAGTGGCGCGGGAACCACGCCGCTTACCATCTTGCTGCTCAGAATTTTCACGGGGATGGGGCACGATCCACGGCGATTCTTGGAAAACACAACTCGAAATATCGAATCGTGACAAAGACGCTCACAAAAACGGTTATATATCTGCAAAGAGAAATAGCTGCATCACTCTTGTGAATTTATAAAAATTTACTTTGAAAATTTATATTTTTATAACAAGATCAAGTACGGACTACCTTCGTTTTCCATGAAGCGTTTAGGATTTTCACAGCGATAAATTCGTAATTTTTTGAAGATGTATCGTAACATATAACGATATATCGTAACATATAACGAGACCGATGGTAGTTGTAAGAAGGCGATAAGGCTTTTTATGAAAAGATGCGTCCTGAAGAGATGTGGATCTATTGTGTTTTGGGTCTCGTGCGATCGTGTTGTTTAGCGTTGCATTTAGCGTTAGACGCGGTCCTTAAATTAATTGTCTCATATGAAGTTTGGGAGAATTGCAAGAGTAGAAATTATATAATCATAATTTTTTAATTTATATGTTTATATATATTTAAAAAAGAACAATTCAATAAGTTGCGATAAGTTGTTATAATTGAAAGCAATTGAGAATGATCAAATCCGTAATAAGCTGTAACGATTATTTTTGTCATATTGAATGCAATATTGTATATATTATTTATTTTTTTCATGATTGCTTATCTCCATACAAACATAAATAATATGTATGTATTGTGTATATTATTTATATCTTATATACATATAAATAATATATATAATACATACATATTATTTATATGTTTGCATGGAGATAAGCAATCATGAAAAAACACTTGATTCTTACCATATCGATATCTGCGAAAAGGAAAGGAAATGGAAAGTGGAGCAATTTCGATCGTTTAATACTGAAGTATTGAACGCGATCGCTGGGCTGGATGACATTGATGCAATCGCGTCTTTAATCGGCTGAACAATTCCTACCGACGAAGTTTCAACATATCGCGTGCAAAGTCGGGCTTCTAACGAGTGCAAACTTCTGATTTTATATTGGCTTTGAACACTCGTTTATTGCTATCAACTGCAATCAAGCATGTTCATCAATTGATTTAGACATATGCTAGACATTTTCAGTGTAAGAATCAAGTGTTTTTTCATGATTGCTTATCTCCATGCAAACATATAAATAATATGTATGTATTATATATATTATTTATATGTATATAAGATATAAATAATATACACAATACATACATATTATTTATGTTTGCATGGAGATAAGCAATCATGAAAAAAATAAATAATATATACAATATTGCATTCAATATGACAAAAATAATCGTTATAGCTTATTACGGATTTGATCATTCTCAATTGTTTTCAATTATAACAACTTATCGCAACTTATTGAATTGTTCTTTTTTAAATATATATAAACATATAAATTAAAAAATTATGATTATATAATTTCTACTCTTGCAATTCTCCCAAACTTCATATGAGACAATTAATTTAAGGACCGCGTTTAACGCTAAATGCAACACTAAACAACACGATCGCACGAGACCCAAAACACAATAGATCCACATCTCTTCAGGACGCATCTTTTCATAAAAACAGAAATCGAAGAAATGACAGATGCCTGAAGAATCGTCGATCATTACCTGTTTTGCTTTGATATAAGCGACGCTGTTTATTCATAAACATTTAATAATATGCAGAGAGGTATTCCTTTTAAAGAAAAATTTACGGCGTCAATTCAACGGACGTCCACCTTTATTCAAGATGGTGGCTCAAAAGAGAGAGTATGGGCAAGAGCATAGACTTTTGCATAACACATAATACATAACGCGTAAGAGAATAAACCAATTAGTTTTCTTCATTTCCCTCCTCAGGACAGAAATGAAGAACTCTGATATGTTGATTCTCTTATGCATTGTGTATTATGCGTTATGCAGAAGTTTATGCTCTGGCCTTAAAGGCCATCACACACAAATGAACGTAAGCAGTAAAGAAACTGACCAATCACAATCAATTACTCTCGTAAGTTTTAAAATGGCGTCCTTCAATTTCGATTGTGACTGGTCGATTTGCTTACTGTTTACGTCTTACTGCTTAAGTTTGTGTATGATGACCTGAAGCGTGGTCTACAATGGCCGTAAGCAGTAAGAAGAAAGCGTGAACAGTAAGAAATGGACCAACCACAGTTGATTATTTTTGTCATAATCGACTGTGATTAGTTTATTTCTTACCGCTTACGCTTACTTCTTACTGCTTACTGCCATTGTAGACGACGCTTTAAAATCATTCTACAATACGTGTCGTAAGTTGTAAGTCGTAAGAACTGACCAATTATAACCGATTATTTTTGTAATAATCGACTGTGATTCGCCAATTCTTACGGCTTACAACTTACAATGCGTATTGTAGAATGACCTTTAAAGACAAGTATCGCACAAAGTTATCTGCAGATGGTAGCAGGTGACGGTTCGAAGATTGCAAGTTGCTCTCGTTCGATCACGTTGCAATCGAAGGTGGATCGCATTGTGATTGGTTATGTTAGGGAGATAATATTGCGATATTAATCAATCAGAGAACTCTCCTACGGTTGCTGCAGTGATGGAACTTGACAATGGCCAATAAGAATAGATTTGTTTTCAAAGAAATTTTTTTCGAAGAATTTTTGAACTAGTGCACACTAGTGCAATAAGTTAGAACGAGAGAGAATATATCTGTTTCACTTCAACTTGCTCTAATTTAAAAGTCTTTCGAAAAAAAACAGACCTAATACAAAACAGAGAAACTTGAAAGCGGCCACGGGCCGATTACGCCGGGCCGCTTTTTCTGCCGAATTCCGACGCGCCCCCTGAGAAAATGTGTGCACACTACATCCGTCCTAACGGTAACAGCAAAGCGTGCACGGTTCTTGCTCACTCTACTTCCCCTTACAAGATAATAAGTTAGACAAGCATAGACGATCAATCGCTCTCCGTCTTTGTCGCACCATCGATGCGTACGCGCCACAAGAGGAAGCACGAGGCGAGCAGCAGATCTTATCGGTAAGCCAAAATCTCTTCCGTCTTGATCTTCATATCTTTCTCGCAACGCACTGCCCACAATTAGGGAAGAAATATTTCAAGACCGCACGGAAAACTTCTAGCAATGACATAAAATGTTGCTAAAAATTCTGGAGAATTGCAGAAAATCTAATTTTTTGCGATTACAGCGCCATCTATCACGAATAAAAAAAAAGTTTCGGACGAAACTTACGCACGTGGCGTAGAATCCGAATCTGCAATAAAAAAAATGGGGGTTCCCATTTAAGATTTCAAAGTTGCCCCCCACCCCCACTCCTCGGGAGAGGGGTGGGAGATCGAGTTTGATATCATGGATGTCCCCCTTCGAGACGAACAAATTTCATTACCCACTTTTTTGATCCGACATGTAGTTTTCCAGATATTACGATTTGTCAGGTTAAATGGGACACCTTGTATATACTGTTTTGTGCAAATGTGAACACAGAAAAAAAAATATTTTTAATAAGTATTTTACAAAACTTTATTTTTATGTCTACTTATACATGCTAATTAATCATTATTTTGCCCTATTAATTAGCACGTATGAGTAGACATAAAAATAAAGTTTTGTAAAATACTTATTTAAAATATTTCTTTTTCTACGTTCACATTTGTACAAGATTATATATATGCATATTGAGTTGTGTAATATGTATAATTTCAAAATTATTAGGTAAAATGAAATGATAGAATTTTTATGTCTGTATAATTTTATAAAATAATTGTATAGAAAATACAAAATTATAGATATCAGCGGCATACAACTATATACAACTACATAACTCAATATGCATATTTAGAAACACAATATAAATATAAAACTACATATATTTATTACAACTTTTATTTTGTATTTTTTTATTGCCATGTTTACAAATATTATTTCAAACAGTTATATTTTTTACAATAAAAGTAAAATTAATTACAAGAAAGTTTAATGCATCATATTTTTCCCATCCCACTTGCAGACTGCGGACTGTCAAATACATTTTTGCTATGTATCTGGTGTGGTTAAAAAAATTTTATGCATAAAACTACCATGCATCATACACATACAGCTTATAATACATGCACAGACACAATGACACATATATATACATAAATACTTAAGTAAATGTCAATATTATGATTATGAATATACGCCACACGCTCTTTGTCCTTCGTTGGTCCTTCTTTCTTCCTATATAACACTGAAATACTCTTTTTTGGGCACTTAAATATACAAAACACTGCAAAACACCTTCTCAAGTCACTGATAAATAGAAACTGTTCAATATGGCGACTAACAGATGATGATGCCGAGTCGACTGCACTACCACCTACCTTTGTACCCAATCCGAGACGAACTAAAGTCACTTCTGTCACCAATAAAATACAGGGAGCAGAGAGTAACCTGAGAGCGGCCAATACGACATTTTCTGCGACACCGACTTTCCGCACTGGGAAAGGACGCCATCTGCATCCATTTTGAGAGGGGAACTACGATAGTACATCCACTTTCAAGTCTCGGTGGTAAAATCTGCATATGGTGGAAGTCCATGCTACATCCACTTTCAGGCGGTTTATGTCCGTGCTGCAATGACAGTTGCCATCTCTATGCCAGACTATGCCCGGTGGTCTAAAAAGAGCGGGGGAGAGGGGGGGAGGAGCAGAAAAAATAAAAGTACGTATTAAATGTTAAATCTTCGAATATATATTGCCGTATCAAAGTCTCTTCTATAATAAACAATTTGACATGTATGGAGACGCATGATGTATCGTTGTCCGCGTCCCGTTCACTTCGTCTTGTTTTTTAATTCAGCATCCCGTCCGCTCCGGATGTTCACTCGTGGCACTGACAGTGGCCGTCGGTGAACATTCGATCCGCTCGGAGGAGCACGTGTTATTCACGTAATTAACATGACGAGACTCCGATTATAAATAACCCGCGAGTAGACGAAATATTTGAACTTTTAAAAAAAGTATCAAAGAAAATCACGTTAATGTTGTCATGGGTAAAATCTCACCCCGGTATATATTTTCTTATTTTCGAAATAAAAAAAGCCAAACG